GTAAAGCTAACACACCACAATTATCCATTAGCACTCCATACTTATCCAGTACCATCTCACGCCACAATTATCGATTAGCACTCCATACTTATCCAGTACCATCTCACACCACAATTATTGATTAGCCCTTCATACTTATCCAGTACAATCTCAAACCACAATTATCCATTAGCCCTTCATACTTATCCAGTACCATCTCAAACCACAATTATCCATTAGCACTTATCTAGTACCATCTCACACCACAATTATCGATTAGCACTCCATACTTATCCAGTACAATCTCACACCACAATTATCCATTAGCACTCCATACTTTTCCGGTACCATCTCACACTACAATTATTGATTAGCACTCCATACTTATTCAGTACCATCTCACCCCACAATTATCGATTAGCACCCCATACTTATCCAGTACCATCTCACACCACAATTATCTATTAGCACTCCAAACTTATCCAGTAAGTCCTTAGAATTACCTGCAAAGATAATACACTGGTCAGAACAAAGTGCTCTTTTACTTTAAATACTTCAGAATCAGTATCCTTTCAATATCAGTACACATGCGTGACAGGTGGTGTTTCTAAAGAAGAACACACTCACACACATACATATACTTAGAGGAAGTGGGTGGATAGATCTAGATTACACATACTAATGGCAACACAGATACACAGTAGGGGCACAGGTGGGTGGCAAAGGGGCACAGGTAGATGGCACCAGCGTAACAGCAGAGTCAGTAACCGTGCTTTAAAAAATACAGAGTTTTCCTAATCCAGTTTAGCCAACATTAAAAAGCTGTCATATTCGAGGATCAAAATCAACATCAAAACCATCTAATATTCCAAACTGGACAGCATTATCTTTAAAAGAAAATACACCTGAATGATGTCCACAAGAACACAGCTAGTCTAGCGATGAATTCCAGCCCACTATGGTAAGCATAGAAATGGAAAGGAGGAAGAAGAAGAAGAAGAAGAAGAAGAAGAAGAAGAAGAAGAAGAAGAAGAAGAAGAAGAAGAAGAAGAAGAAGAAGAAGAAGAAGAAGAAGAAGAAGAAGAAGAAGAAGAAGAAGAAGAAGAAGAAGAAAAAGAAGAAAAAGAAATGTATTAGTGTCTATATAATATATCAATGGTTAACCACATAAAAATAAATTACTAAGCACTATGGAGATTATGTAAGAAGGGAATAAAAAATTTATATATTAAACATAGAAAAAGCAATTATAAAATCTCACACTAGCTACGGTGAAATCTTATTAAGATAAAATATGAGACTATACGCTTGTATAATGTTCTTTAATTAATATACAATTTGTAAACTCATTAACAGCGTTTGATGCAGTAACTGTCTATACTTACCAGTGATAAACGCTTTTGTTGGTTACTTTATAATCTACCCTCTCTGTACCGTCCCTAACGTAGGGTTGCACTGGTTGTTCTTTATTAAATTATTCTTAGTTCGTTCTGGAAATATACGTCTTCTAGTCATTTTCCCTGACAGGCGCGCCGAAACCCGGGTACTCAGGCACTTTTAGTCCCCACCAATATTTTGATGGAGACTGTAATCCCCCTTCCCCCAGCCACCGCTTTCCCCAATGATTCTTTATTGGGGAGAACATGGTCCATGATATGTGTTGTTGGTCATGATGTTGTCCAACAGACTATTTCTCGTTGTCACTTTGTTCTCTAATACGACGAGTTTACAAGAGGCTTAGACGACGGATCAACATCATGCCACAAGCAACCCATACGTGCTCTGTTCTACTTCTGGCTCAAGCCTGAGTCCGAAAAGTCTCAGCGTAGTGCACGAATTCCGTAGCACCGATGAGGATCGTGAAATACTTTGGGTGGATTATTATTGAGTAAATATCGTATTATCCATCGTATTATCCAATACGACGTGTCTCACCAACTAACCAAAGAAAAGTGGGCCCTTTTCTCACACAAATCAAGAACTCTAGGCTTTAACCTGCCTCGGAGTATGGTGTTGGTCCCATGTTTTTATACAGCTACTAGTGTTTGATAGATGTTGCGATTGATATCACCTGTGACCTTTTTTGACAGAGGTCGCGAATGATATCACCCTTGACCTCTTTCATCAACCATTGTCGTAAGGTTACACTTGGACATCCTCCCTTCCTCAACCCTCGTTTCCAAGTGTAGTGTCCTATTGTGATTCCTGGTCCTCTTCGTTTGAACAAAATCGTATCAAATTTTATATCTGTAATAGTAATAATACTAGAAGTTGTCATTGCAATTATTTCTTCGTCCCTCTTCAGGTATTTCCATTCATTATTTCTCTATATTCTCACGCATTAGATTTCGGATGGGTTTAACATTATTGTCTTTACTGGTTCTTTACAATTTAATGGTACATGTTAGCACTGACACAAAAGTAAAATGAACAGTTTATTTTAGCATCTGATCTACAGGTACTTTGTAAAAATTTGTATACACAAGCATCATAAGTTTGTGTGTGTAAATAGTCACTGATGAAAGTATAGCTATACAGGTCTTGCCCATTTATTCATTTACAAACATGTGCATGTACTTATGTGTGTGTGATTACGTATTACATAAGCATGTGTGCGTGTACCGATGTACCTAGGTATTTCTATCCTTATGAACGTAATGTATATGTATATCTTCACATACACCCACAAACCTACCTATGTATAAATGTACGTATAGTGTGTATTTGTATGCGTGCATTTATATATGTATAAACAATATAAAACATTAGCATCAAAATCAATCATTGTACCATAACACTGCATGTCCCTGGGTCATCAGTTGCTATTGACTATTTGTTTGTTCAGTTACCTCCACCTCTAACGGTGAGATGCAATGGACGTCTTTGCTTCATGCATATGACCTGTTCAGTCAATCCAATTCTGTATCCAAGTCTTTCTTGGTCTGACTCTTCTCCTCTTCCCCTCAACTGAGTCTTGTAATATTGTTTTTGAAAAGCTATTATATCTGATTACATATTCGTACAATTGCATTTCACGTCTTTTACCTGTAGTTAAAAGAGATTCACAGTTGCTAATGTGCTGGTTAATTATACGGCGATCCTTGCTATGAAAACATGATCACAAACACCAAAAATAATTGAATGTAGAAAGACCATTATTAATTATGTCAGTAAAAGATACGCCTACTTTAGGATACAAACTATACCAGGAATCACACTCATATAATTATAATACAAAACAGACCGACGAACTCTGCCTACCCAAACCGCGAGTTATAATAAGCGCCTTGTAATGTGTACATCACTCTTACAGTTTTAAAATGTGTAAGCGGCTTTTTATTTATTTTTTAACGACTGTATGCACGAATGAGAATTATTTTATATATTGTTTTTCATATCACAGTCGACGTCATTGTACATTGGGCATTCATTCCTCAGATGCCACAGCCATTCCAAGATAACTCTACTGACAGTTAACATGCGAAGCTGGTTAAAATGTCTCCTTTCTTGACCTCAAGAACTTCATTCACGTTCTTTGCAGAGCTTTATTCCTAGGCCATGCAATCATGTTAGTGTCATAGACTCATTACAGACGGCCAGTCTTGTCCGTACATCGTTGATGATACCAGAGCTGTCCAGATTTTTTTAATGTTGGTGAAATTGGTTGTGGGTTGGTTCTTTGCGGGTATTTATTTGAGTTCACAGAAACAGGGACAAAAAGTAAAGATTATAGTTCATATTTCATCAATAGTCTGTTAGGCTGATTGTGAATAGGATTTTTTTTTTTCAAAGTTTTGTTCTGAGCTTATAGAAAAACAGAAAACAATTACAGAATATGTAAATGTAAAGCATATGTAACGGTTATAGTTTATGTGTTTTTTTTTCGTGTTGTAGGTGTTACTATGGATTATATTCTCTACAATTGTTTAAAGAGCTCATAGACGTAGAAACAAGTAGATATTAGAGTGAGTAGTTGTTTTATATGTTGGTGATCTTTATTGTGACAAAGTTCTCTAGAGGTATCAGTCGGACTAGACAGAAGTGGATAAAAGCAGACAGCTGAAAATATGTATGATTTTTTTTTTATCATGCTATTTTAATGACGTCAATTTCTGCACAAAAATCTGCACGTGTAAGTAAAGCAAAGATACCATCAAAATAATGAAAGGATAACATCTAAGAACCTCAACAACAATACAAAGAGTCTATTGGATGGAAGAGCGAGAACTAAAGCCTTGTTTTTTCCTTGCAGTAAAAGAGGAAGTGAAGAAGTAGAAGTAGTAGTAGTAGCAGTAGCAGTAGCAGTAGAAGTTAGTAGTTAGTAGTGGTTAGAAGTTAGTAGTAGTTAGTAGCTAATTGTACTATTAGTGAGTAGTAGAAGCAGCAGCAGCATCAGTAGTAGCAGTAGCAGGAGCAGTAGAAGTTAGTAGTTAGTAGTGGTTAGAAGTTAGTAGTAGTTAGTAGCTAATTGTACTATTAGTGAGTAGTAGAAGCAGCAGCAGCATAAGCAGTAGCAGCAGCAGTAGTAGTAGTAGTAGCAGCAGCAGCAGCAGCAGCAGTAGTAGTAGTAGTAGTAGAGGAAAGATGTGGAGGAAATAAAAGCATCTCTAAGTTCTTTGCTATGTCAAATGTGTTCTTTCTTCGCTGGAAACTTCAACGTGCAAGTGTATCTTGTGTTGTCATGTGTTGTGTATATTTTAGTTTCCCCTCTCTCTCCCCTCTCCCTGTTTTGTTAACTATTATACATTTTTGATTTCGCTTTCACTAATAATATTTGTCTGGATCCTATGATGAGTTTCATAAACACATGTTGGGTACATTAAGAATGAAGACAGCGTCGTAGTAGTGGTTTGACTTTCATGATCCGTTTTAGCAATGGCTTCAGCTGGCGTAGTTATTACTGTCGTTGCTATTGAAGTTGCAGTCGTCATCGTTGTTGTCTCATCTTTAAATTCTCTTTCACTTTCGTAATCAGGATCTCTATACTCTTTTTCCACGGCCTTTCCTGGCCCCGGTTCTAGTCATAACGGGGCCGGGGGAGGAAGCTCCTTGAGGTTTCTGTACGAAATACTTGGTACAGCATAGTCTGTGTAATTTCCGTCAATTACTTCCCGACCGTTTTGACGTAGTTTCCAACATTTGCGTGTTCCGTTGATAGCATCGTAAAATCTGGACGTGAACAAGGCGTTGGTTCGAAGGACTGGGTTTTCTTGGAGCAGGAGTCTGGCTGTAGCTTTTCCATCCTTGTAGCGTATCTTCTCTCTCGTGACGTTTTTAAACAGGAACTGACCTGAAATGGGAAAAGGCATGCTGGAAGTTAAAGGGAATAAATAACGCCAATTAAAAAAAAATACTGCCCGGTCGCTAATGTATGGTTAGTTGCGTATCCTTTACAGGACGTTGCAGAACCAACACCAGTAGCCCCTGGCTGTTGTGTGGTTTCTTTAGGCAAATTTACGTCCAGTAGTTTGCCATTGCTTTATGAACGGTCAGCTCCCTGATACCACTGTCGAAACCAACGCAAGGCTCATGGCCCGCAGCTGGGATGGAACCCGGCACCCCGGCATTACGAAGCGTTCGCATCGACTTAGCCACAGAGCCGACTCGCTAATGTATAGGTTTTCAGGTTAGGGTATGCAGGTGTGTTGGGTGTGCAGATAATGCAGGTGTGCTATTAAACAAACAGTCAGACAGATTGGGTGAGTCGTACCACTTTCATGACAAGCTAAATGTTATCCATTGGGAGTGAAAGAACAGTGTAGAAGCACAAATATGTAACACACTAACAGTCTGAAGAAACTGGTACCGCGGCGAATGATCAGGGGAATTGGTCGACACTCAACACTTAAAGGAAAGGTAAGATGGACATACAATCTTCTTCGTCGTCTGCTTCTGCTTCTGTTTCATCAAAAGATGTGAACGCATTATGCCTCTTTAAAACATTGCTGCGATATTTGCTCCTTTCGGCTTATATAAACGTCTTCTGCATGCATTTGATGTCCGGGCTAACCTTGCAGGTAATTTACAATCTGACAGCTACGGTTACTATCGGAACTAGAACTCTGCGCTGGCTGCTGAAGATTGGGACTGATGACTTAGTGGAATGATATGAGTGCTATGATGTTGGTTCTTAACTATATGCAATAGCTGACAGAAGAAGACGCAGGTGTCGACCACAATGTTGGTGGTGACAGTATGTTAGAAACATCATGGCATCTAAATACCAGAGACAGGAAAATTGGCAAGCGAACGAGTATCATCGGAGTCCTGCAAAGGACATGCTATGTGACAGCGATGCTGACTAGACAAAATGACGCCTCTGTAGGGCACTGGCCGGTATGTTTCATGTTAACCAAATAGTTATATGTCTAAATCCCCATCAGCGAGGTGACTGTGTTTAAAGGGAATCGGGCAACCAGATCCGACCAGCCAGAATGGTTCCGTGAAAGATTTTGAAATGTTAAAGTAGCAAGTTTGATTTTGACTGCTTCAGCCAGATCTTGGTCTCATATTGTTGGGCTACCGTATGGTAGTAGTAAGTACTACGTACTCTCTGCTGGGGAGCATATACCACACCTGGCATCCTACATTGCTGAAATGGAGAAGCGCACTGGTGAAGATAATAACCTTATCGTGGAAAGAGGAAATCGTTGAAAAAAACAGACTTTGGTTGGCAGCTGGTCTAGGAGGGAAGTCCGACAGGCGGATAGACAGAGCACTGTGATTCTCATCCGGTAGCTTCTGTAACATGCTTTGTCTCAAACAAATAGTTGTCACTTGTCCCCTTGAGTAAGCAGGGCAGGTCAAAATAGGGATCATGCTGCATAGGCAAAACCTGGTCTATACAATACTGCCAAGATTTAAGGGCTACACTTTGCACACCTCAATTTATACAGTATAACTGGAATGATGTAAAGTTCGCATTTACCAATATCTGACCCATATAATTGCACTTTTTAATTTAGTGACTGCAGAATGGCTCCACATTTATAACTATATGTGTCAAATGAAAGATTCGCGTTCTTAGCTTAGACAAGTGGTTCCCAGCTAGTTGTCACTGGAGCCCTATGAGCCAGACGTAAACTTCCCAGGGACGTCGCTGTCGGTTTAGGAAAAGGAAAAAATACTGAATGAAACTGAATTTTAAGAATGGAAGACTCCTGGATATTGCTGGTGACGTGAAAGAGACAACTGTCAGTGGCATCAGGTCTACCAGATTCGCACTACGGTTGGATGAATCGACTGCTATCGTCAGGTGGCCTGCTTTAATATTATTTATTGGTTGTGTTTACTTAAAAGCTATCATAAAGACGACCTTCTTTGCAGACCTCCACCAGTCAACATATGAGGAGGTGAAATATTTAATGCTGTGCATAAATTCTTCTTATCCAACGAAATATAACAGAAAATCTTTGCTTATACATGTACTGATGGTACAAAGGAAATAAGTGACACTGCTGGAGGCACTGCAAAAAATAAAGATAAAGCAAAGAACTGTAGCAGCAACCTCTGCTTTCTTCAGAGACACGCGTTAGTCTCCAGAAAATGCTTTTTAAGCTTATGATTGTATTGAAAGATGCCATACAAATATTAAACTATATATAATCACGGCGTCTTGAGAGCAGACTGTTCAAAATAATGTGGGAAGCCACCAACAGTTTCAAAAACTACAGGCGAAGCAAAGTCGTTGCATCGGGAAAAAAGGGTTGGTACGTTTGATGGAACTGCATGCAGAGACAGCAGCATTGTTGATTGACCATAACGTTCCATTAGCCACGATTTTACCTGATGAAGACTGGGCATCTAAACTGGCTTCTTTGGCCGACATGTTTAGCAAAATTAAGGAAATGAATCTATCACTGAAAAGAAAAAATTGACAGTTTGTCTTGCTAACTACAAAAGCGTAGTCTTTTAAGAGAAAACTTGTGTATTGGTTGGAGTGCGTAAAAATGAAAGATCCCGATTATTTCCCTCTTACAAAAAGCCTTTTGGATGAAAAAGAATACATGGTTCAAGAAAAAAAATACAGACAAATATCTGGCTCATCTTTAAGCTTTGAAAGACTCATCTGGACAATAATTTTCAACAGCTTAAGATAAGGTGTTTGATGATTGACAATGAGTACCAGATGTGTTCAGCATGAAAACCCCAGCTTAAACTATGTAGACTTCTAGGTCTTTATAGCTTTTTAATCGCACAGCGAACTAAATATTACGTTTTATAATTAAAGTCAATCGGAGTTTGGGCTGCATTTAAAAGATAAACTAAAAATCTTGCCTGAGCAATCCATATTAATACTGCTGCCTTTTTCTCAACTCTATGAAGCATATTCGCTGCCTGCTTAAACAGCTACAATAAAAATTTGAACATACACACACGTACACACACACACACACACACAAAGAGTGAGAGAGAGAGAGAGAGAGAGAGAGAGAGAGAGAGAGAGAGAGAGAGAGAGAGAGAGAGATCCCTTAGATGGAAAAAAACATCCGCCTACAATTTTCATCACTTAAGTCTTAAAAAAGAAAACTGCAAAATAATGCTAACGCGGGTGTGTCATTAAACTGATATTGTTGTTCTTAATTCATGGACTTTTTTTGCTGCTTTCACTAGCAGTGTAAAGTTTATTGTAATTCAAATGGTTTTATTTATTTAACTTTGGATGAGCTTTTGTGTGTGACCAAGATTTGACAATATCAGGTTTACTGGTGGTAGCTGAGAGTAAATTGCCTGTTATGGTACATCTTAATTTTTTTTTTATATAGTTTATTGCATTTACTTTAAATTCTGCATTTTTCACCCTCGCTTCGTAACATCATTTCTAAACAAACTTCACTTGTAAGACATAGGGCACAGTCGGCTATATGAGGTCTGGCCAAAAATATTGATTCTAAGAAGGGCCCACGAGTCAAAATAATTACGTATCGCTGGCTTAGACCATAACAACTATTAAGAGAAGATTTTATATAAACGTTCCACAAAACAATCACTTGAGACACTTCACGTATAATCTACCAAGGAGTCCATGGGTCTTGTTAGAAAAATCCCTCGAGTCAGCTATGTAAATGTCCAACACAATATTGCTGTCTCTTCTTTTCTCTGCCTCTCTCTCCATTCTCGACCCATCATTAGACTCATCTGGTTGACCTTCAGCATAATCATCCAATGGCTTGAAACCGTTCAATCTTTCGCCGTCTTGATCGGCGGAAGACTGGACATCAGGCATATTTTCATGTCCGTGCTGATTCTCTGATTCTTCACCAGCTTGATCGACTTTAGATCCATCCTTGAGAATCTTCTCACTGTCTTCCTTCTCATTGCCCCGTTTTTTACGACCTTCACTGTCCACTTCTATGAGCACATTTCTCACTACAGCGCTGTCCTGATTAATGCCAAAGTATTTCTGCAGCAAAAGCCCACGTCGTCTTTTCGACGACAAGAAATGGTTTATGAAAGATTCCCTTTGCTCATACCCAACTAGAGGAAGTATGTCCGGTCGCCCTTTGGTTCCTGCACCATCACTATCATCATCCTTGCTAGCATTGCTTTCTTCTGCTTTATTGTCATTTTCTCTGCCGAATTCGCTATAATCCATACTGTTCTCTCCAGTTGCATGTCGACGGACGGCCAGTGTGATACGGCATTGTCGAAAAGTCACTATTACTATATTTCCTCTGATCAAAATTCTGTGCCCGTCCACACTCAGATCTCTGATTTCTCCCCAGTTAAACTTGGCGTTGTTGACCAAGAGGAAATACTGCGTGCCGAGAAGACAGATGTTGCCTTGAGAAATCAGGACAGTGCCAATGTATGTCTTGTTATTCAAGTTGTCATGGAGGATTTGAGCGTTCACAATAATACCTGTTTAGAAAATGAAACTTTTTTCAGTACAAAATGAGTATGATTTCAATAAAAGACCCATAATTCGTTTTTTAAAAAAAGCGTTATTTCAATAGAGAAAAGAGACGTTATGTCAATATATGAAATAAAATTTCAATTGTAAATTAAATTTTTGTTCATTAATGAAATGAAATGTCATTTTCACAGACAACGAGACACACTGTAAATATAAAATGATATACTATTTCAGAATTACCAGTAATCTGATTTCATTAGAAACCTTTTTCGCCACTGACACATAAGGCAAAATATGCTAGCTCATAGTCTACAAACCAACAGTCACTGGGTGGATGGAATGGTCAACAGCACACCGACAACCTTTGCTTTCCAGGACTTTGCGTCGTACCTTTTTTAAACTGTGTCGAACTGGGAGCCAGTGTCATTTTGGGAAAGAATCCTACTCGATGAGGATTCGAACCAAAGGCCTACGGGTCGGCAGGTAGTGCTTCTAGTCACGACGCTACAGTGGCTGCCGATTTACGGTAGTGATTGTAACAATACCATTCGCTATTTTGTATGATTAATATTTAATGCATCTTGTAATCGCTAAGGAAGAAAATCAGTATTTTTGAGGTGAAACGCTACACGAGGATTCCTAAAGTTCCATGAATCAACACAACGGGGGAGAGAGGGAGAGAGAGAGAGAGAGACACAGAGAGAGAGATAGAGAGAGAGAAAGAGATTAAAATGCTTAAGGATCTGAAAATCGAAGAAAACTAGCACGTAAAACAGCATCTTGTCTCGGAAACTAAAATACTTTGGCCGTATGAAACGCCCAAATGACCTGGAATGAACAGGAGTGGATATCTTGGCACCAGGAAAGACATGCAGGGACCGACCAGCCTGAAAGTAGATGCAAGACAAAGGAAACACTTTGGGAAATAATGTGCATGAGAAGGGAAGACCTGGCGAGGAACAGGAACCGTTTCTTCCAGTCGAGCTGTGATATAAACGCTGTTCTTTAAAGGACCTGCTACCTGGTAATGATGATGATGACGATCATGATAATGATGACATGTAAGGAACCTGACCTGTCTTGGGGTCTTGCAGTACTCTGACGGTTTCCTCTCGTGTCCCAACATTGAAGCACAATGGTTCTTCAATTCCGGAGACGTTCACGACTAACTCTGGTGAGTTTTCTGAAATGAGACAGTATAAGTGTTAAAAAAGAAGAGCTAGCAATATTAGTGATAAGATTTTTTTTTAAATCCATCAACTTACATGTAAGGCTAATAAAACAGCACGATTATAAAAATAACATAACTATCAATATAACTGCTAAGTTAAAATAAGACGATTTCATAAGCAATCATTTAAATATTGTAGCCTCATAAATGTTATACAAAAGATACTTTCCATTAAAAAGATGCCAAATTCAGTGGGAAACAAAGCGTTACAGTGTTATATAGAACTTGTATTATTATATGCATATAAGACACAGAGCATATAAAGACGAGCTGGGAAAAAATATTTAGAAGATATTGTTTTAGAGAAGAATGCAAAGAATATCCTTAAACCGGAGGAAAAGGAAGCAGGCGGTTCCCTGAAGACAGATAAAAACTTTACACTGATTAGAAAATTAGACGCAGAGAGTCGTTAATTTTGGACATGTTATCGAAAGTAATTGCTTGGAGATTTGGCTACAGCTGGCAAGGCTGATGGGGAAAGAGCCGAGGAAAGGCAACATATAAATACCTGGATGGCTTGGGGCGATACAACAGCATTGCCCAGATATGTGATTAAGATAATCGTGTCAGAAGGTGAAGCATGACAGTCTATGCTTATCAATACAGATCATGATCATAAAAGTTTATATCCAATAAGATTTGGTCATAATGTTGAGATAAAATCAAATAATCCTCATTAAGGTATGATACAGTGAGACAGTGTCATAATTATCAGGGATAAAATGAAAAGTATAACAATTGTACAATAGCGGCTGGCCGAGGCAGTTGGGAAATCTAGGTTCGATTCATCGGTAACATCATTGACATATTTTCTGTCAGACAGTCCTGACGATTGCATTAGACATCTAAACATGTAGTCCTTAACCTCGGGCTCAAGAACTCCCCAACCCCCTTCCCTTTCCACCCCGTCCTATACAGCCTACTGCTTTATGCCCGATGAGTTCAGGCGTGAAATAGTTCCATTGCTTACTATTCAGGAATTCATATTTTTGACGACTGGACACACCCAACTTGCTCTATCACTCGGGCAAACGTAGTAAAGGACAAATCTCATCGTTCTAGAAGCAAACTGGTTGCCAACAGCCTACTGTGTCTCTCAAACATTACTATTTACGTATTTCTAGATCCACGCATTGTTACACTTGTTACATCTAAATATGTAACATTTTTTGTTTTCATTGTTTGTTTTAATTTTCGAGCAACATTAATTTTTTTTTTATGTCTCTCTGATTATTATATCTATTTTTATTGTTTCTACAACTGTTTTTTTTTTTTTTTTTTTCAGCCCATAAATCCGCTTTTTCTTTGCTCTGCCCCCCTCTCCCCCCCCCTCTCCCCTCCCCCACACACACATTAACAGACCCGTGTAAAGGTAGGTTGGTAGTTGTACCCCACCAGGACATCATAAATACCCGGTGACACAAAGTGCCACTATGCGGATGAGGATCACCCGTGGTGAGGTCCCAGATATCTATGCCCCGGCTACATTCATGGCCCCCGGCAGAAGCCAGGCTGAGGCTTCAAATAACGCAAAATTGCATGCCACCTGGGGACAACTTTATATTACGGTTTTAAACCCGTGTAAAACTTCATTTAAAGTTTTAGGGGCGGCGGGGTCTAGATAGTTTTTGGGTCATTAAGTTGCTTTACATGGCAAACAATTGTCGGGGTCGGCGAATACCACTTTATTAAGTAGGGTATAATCAGTAAAGGTACATTGGACTGGCTGCTGCATTGGAGGAATGAGCACACATGGAAATGCTCAGTAAGCAGTGAAGTCAAGTGTGATGACATAACATAACCAACCACTTTTAGAGAGGTACAGGAGGGAGAAGGCGTCACAAGCCAGAGGTTTAAGGTCCCATAGCTAGCTCAGACGCCACAAACTGTGCAGGTTACGATTTTAATTGTTGCCCGATGACCCCAAAAAATCTCTTTCACTTACCGAGGATAAAACTCGATTTTTCCGCATTGCAGCCTAACGATATATCCTTGTAAATTCCTTTAGGATAGAACTGTTAATGCTCGGTGTTTATTAAGGCAATATGTACCATTCGAACGATGGGCGCTTGACCTGGGTACTCAAACGCCCCGAGGACTTCCGTATAAGGAGGTGAGCTGATACCACTCCACCCCGCGACCCGCGGGCATTTATACAAATAAACGTTTCGTAATAATTCACTTATATTGTTACAATTGTTTGGTCAATTAGTGCGTTATACAGGGTTATGTTTAATGACTGTATTTCGAAATTATTGCCGTTCCTATTTGTGTAATCACGGTATATGGAGTTAACACAACATATACTGCTATAGTGTGTCTTATTTTTGGGTACTTGTTTTCCACATTACAACTCTGTTCACAATATGTGCTGGAAATATACATCATAGTCCATTTGGCAATTATGGATACGTTTCCTCATATTGTCATAGACCTTGTGCAGTTCGGGCAGTGTCATGTTATTAATTTTGTTGAGGACTAAAAACCGAAGTTCACTGATTGTTTGTTGACTGTGTTCGCACACCCTCCCTTTATGTGTACCCCAGAACCAGAAATCTGGGAAGGGGTGGGCGTAAGATCCGGAGACGGTAGGGGCCAAATTCCGCGAGATAATATTAGAAAACATCCCATTTATTAATTCTAGAGATAATTCGGACACAGGCTTGAGTTACAAGTAGAACCGAGCCCTTATGGGCTAACCCCTTGGGCCACTATATGATCGTCATCTAAACCATCTAAACTATTCTAAACCATCTAAATCTTGTGGAAACCAGACTTGTTCAATTTCCTGTTCAGAAAGCTTGAATATGAATGCTCCCAGGGTGTTAGTCAGGGATTTTCTTCAGAAACTGATAGTCTACCAGGACAGCCCACATCCTGAACACTAACAGTGCTGCGAAATGTTTTCATTAAAATGCTAACACTTTTAGGATGAGGTACCTGAGTATCAAGAAATGACATCATATATATATATATAATTTCAGCATGCATAGGACATTGTGAAAGTGTACTTACCAATGTGTTCAATTCTGAGCGGCCTTATCTGTTGAAAATCCAAAAATATACAACCAATATTTACTGCTTGCTTCATTATAATTTAGTACAAAAGATGCCTTAGTGCAATTCTAGCCACTAAATGTATTTTTAGAGTTGATATTTGTCATTTTAGAATATGCCAAAGCTACACCTGTTTAATTCCCACTCCACAAACGTCAAAATTAGAAATTGCTTCTCAAGCAGTTTAACAATTTTTGTAGAGAGATCTCATTGTTCAAACAGTGTCTTTTGTCGTGGCTTTCCTCTCACACACTACTGTTCTTCCATCTCTTATGTTGTACTCCTACTTCTATCGTTACCTACTTCTGGCCCTCTTTTTTTTTTTTTCTACTTTTCTCTTCAGCTTGTTAAGGATTTTAATGTGGCCGAGCTATTTCAATTGTAAAATTTTATCTTTCTTTCAGCAACTCTTGTTTCGTTACCAACTTCTTTAACACTTCTGTAGCTGATTGTTTTTATTTCTATGAAACTATTATTCTGTAAAGCTGCATCTCCAAAGACTTAGTCTGATCCTCTAGTTGCTTGCACATTGTTTTAGATAATAATTTCAACATCCTATTGAAGATGCTTTGTAGCCATTCCCATATTCTTTTTGATTTATACTCCACTTCTGCTATTATACTTTATTATATGATTGCAGAACCGAAACATGCATTTGAAAACAAAAGGAGTTGAAATGGCTAGCAACATCTTCACAGTTACACAAGGCTAATTCTAATCTTTTAACAATTTCCCATTGAGAGAAGAGAGCTCTTCTCAAAAGAAAATTAGACGCGGACATTCCACGTAAAGCAGAGAACTATCTGCTAATTTGTCCAGGGATTTCTATGGAAGGAAATTAACGTAAATATGTCACATTGAGATACTCACTTCTTTCTGGTCACTTTTCTCGTAAATATCGTTGACCACACCATGAACTCCCCAGAGAAGAACATACAGTCCACCTAGAAACAGAAGGTACATCGCCATCTTTGTTTCCACTACCCTGAAAATCTAGTCCAGCAATGCAGCCAGTCAGATACGTCAGCGCAGATGCGTTGTCATAGTACTTTCCTCTGGATGTTTTTGTTTTTATTTTTAAAAAAGCTTAAGTATGCTGTGATAAGTCAACAAGACAGCTTGCTTTAGCTATCTTTTCTGTTCTTATCCAAAAGAAACTTGCCTGTCAATGTTCTTAAGTCAGGGAGATCTGGAATAAATAAGAATTTTTTTATTTTTTTTTAAATTACCGTAATTAACTGAACGACCTTGATAGAAAAGAACAGAAAAGAAGCAGTCTTGTATTTTTGTTACAAATTAAGCATGCTGTAAAAAATCAGCTAAACTGTTGGGAAAATTCACTTCTCAACTCACCAACTAACTGCTTCAAAATCTCCTTCTAAAGCCTAATGTCCATGTAAAGATGTATATATTGTTTGCGCACACACTTGCAGCACAAATACTCACACATGGCAACATATGTATAGAACACTGAACACAATACGCACACCGCAGACGCCTGTTTATAAAATACACACAATACAGAAACCATGCAGCATTGTATACAGACCCATTTTAACATACAATAAAAATTGATTTAAAACTATAAACAACAACAACAACAAAATCAGCTAAAGAACTAACTAGCCTTAGGTAAATATTCTGTTCTCATCGAGAGGCAGCTGGATTTTAAATGCTCAATTTTTAATTAGTAGGATCAAGAATGAATAAGAAATAACAATACACAAACTGATTTGGAAAAAAAAGTATGTTGTAATAAGTCACCCAGACAACTTGCTTTTTTTTTTTTTCTGTTCTTATCCAAAATGCAAATTGCTTTTCCAATGTTTATTTTATTCAGGAAGATCTAAAAAGGTTTAACTGAGTACATAAATATATTGCTAACTCACGACCTTTACTGGAGACGGTCATGACCCAATACAATGACCCAAAACAAAGTACCACAAGGTGTGTATAGTTCCCGTTTACTTCTACTTCATATGCTTCAACTGGATGGAGCTAGGGGAAAGAGGAGAGATGAAAGAAACGAAAAGAATTGTAAATGAGACTCTTTACGCGCGGTGGAGAAATGGTGCCCAAACCAAATGTGTCGTTTTTTTTTTTTTAAAACTAAGCAGGGCTCCGCTAATTATTTTATCCCAAGTGCAGTTAGAGTGGTTGCACATTGGAGCCACATGGCAGCAAAAACTGTTTCACGCTGAGGAAGATGTGAACCAAACCCACCCCTCTGATTGACTATCATACAAACCACTAAGTTATTTCGTCTTCTACAACCACATTCATACCTAATTCGGCGTCTGTGGCTTAGACGTTGCGAACGCCCTTAGAAATGCCGGGGTTCGATCCCTGCTGCGGACGATTTGTCTTGCGCTAGTTTTGACAGTGTTACCGAGAGCTGACACTGCAGGACGAAATGGCAAACTGAGTTTTAAAAAAGTAAAGATTCCTTTTTACGCCTTAGGTGCATCGGACAAATGGAAAGAGCACCCACATTTTTACAGACCAATCGGCACTAGGTGGGTAATGCTGTCAGCATTACAAATGGCAAACTACTGAACGTAAAATGTGCCTAGGAAAAAAAACCAAAACAGCCAATAAATGCTGGGGTTGCTTCTGTGACGTCCTGTAGAGGATAGGCAACTAACTTTTATGTACAGCTATTTAGTGGCAAAATAAAACTGGAAAAATAAACTATATAAATAGAGTCGGCGTCTATGGCTTAGGCAGTGCAAACGCGCTTGGTAATTCCGAATTACCGGGTTCGATTCCAGTTGTTGGCGATTTGGCATCAGACCGCCTAGCGTTGGTTGTGACAATGGTTTCAAGAGTCGACCGTTAAATAGGCAATGGTAAACTATAGAACTCAAGACTATTTTTATTCCCTCAGAGACATAGACTCTATTGCGAAGTCAGTTACCTATCTCTGAAGAGATTACGTGTAAGTCATTGACAATGTCCTTTCCATAAAGATATACTGACACGTCGTCCCCTTGTGGAATGCAATTTTTCCTTATTCGAAGCCACCACCCTGACTTTTACCGGGGCCCTGAATTTAGCTGGGCCACAATTGTGGCCATAACGGCTGAAAGGGGTTTCTGGGACCTCTCCACGGGTGATCCTCATCCGCATTGTGACACTTTGTGTCACTGAGTGTTTATCGCTTGTGTGATGTCCTGGTGGGGAACAACAAGCAAGCAAGTATAGCCAATTACCTCTCTTCAAAGACATCATGTATATGATATGCATCAACAATTATCTTCCTAAAAGCACATCATATACATGCGGAAAGCATGAAATTTTACATTACATGCAGAATCCACATACTCTTTTCTTACAGATAACCATAATTCTGTAAAGATTTGAAGTTACGCAAAGATTGATCCTTAATTATAGTGTCATTATGTGTTTGACTGACTACCTCAGACAATACTGGTGTGCCTTTCTCAAATTAAGAAGACACACACTCTATCTTTGCGTAGACTCCATTTAAGAATGGGCGGCTGCTTATGTAGTATCTCCATCTTAACTTCGTGTAATCGATCGAAGAACTATACATTCTATGGGCTGTGCTAAACGTATGGGGTCGCAGAATATCAGTTATGAAAAATCTGCTAATAATTTAGTAGAGACTGCGGCAGACTGATTACACAAGAAATGCCAAGACTCTTTACCATAAAGAAAACCACGCATTGGTTCCAGTCTGACAATCATTTCCTAAATAATGCACTGCACTACGCTATCACAGAGTCTCTGAACTGGATTTCTGCCTATGCACTATCATGGACAATCAATCGAAAAATCGATCAAAATTACGCATCCATTTTGCGTCGCGTCTGCAATTATTACCGCAATTGCCCTCTCGGTTGTCTTCCCTTGTGCACGCGATCACGTCAATTCTCTGTGCACTGCTTCCGATGAGCCACAAAGATTATATACATTACTTGTCACGAAAAATAACAGAAAATTCTACGAGGGGAGATTTCTTAATCCTGATTGAAAAAAAGGGAGCGGGATCACTTTCAATCGATCTTAGTCAATAGGGGAGGTAATCAAATCTAAACATGGGTATCATCTGTTGCCGAATTGTCCCTTTGAGAGCCAGGCGCTAAACAAACGTTTATTCGCTAGTTGCTCTTCCCAAAGATGCCATCGATTCGTGGGGGCCAAAGTTACATGTAAACCTCTCTAAATTTGTTTGCACGCTCTATACTCGTGAATGTGCCAGAAGTCATTTTTACTGAGTTCTTTCTTCAGCACAAAGTCTGGAAAGGAAATGAAGCGGTCTCTTCTCCCAACACGGAGCACTAATGCTGAAGACAACTTCGCTGTATAAAGTTCCTTTCGTTCGCAATTTCTCTGTTTTTTCTACAGTAACATATCACTTATAGCCACATTTTTCTTTTTCCTCTCCTATATGGGGATTTGACATCATCATCATCCATCATCATCATCA